ATACCACAAAACGTTATTTACTTTCCAGTGAACAAAAATATAATTTCATCCATATCTGTTAAAATTGTTGATCAATTTGGTCACTGTATTAACTTCGAAGAAGAATATATTCAGTTACGTCTGCACTTAAGAAAAACAAAATGATTGTATATTATAAAAGCACTCCAGTAAAAATAAATCGGTTTATTTCTTCTGCGACCGCTAAGGCGCAAAGACGTAATACAAAAATTAAGAAACTGACTAAAGCAAATAAAGATTTTCTTAAAGCTCTGGGTTTTAAAGTATGAATATGCTACAGATTACTGAATTACCGCATTTCGACAGTTCGATTGAAAGTTATGAAATCCATTCATACAATCCCTACAATAACAGCTTTAGAGAAAACGATGAAATCAGAATCCCCATACATCAGCAAGATATATACGTGCTACCATCAGCCAGTTCAATTTACATCGAAGGACAGGCAAGGCTGTTCGGTAAAGATGGGAATCCGATCAAGAAAACTGTTACGTTCACTAATAACCCTGTTATGTCTTTGTTTCAAGACATCAGATACGAAATGAATGGTATCGAAATAGACCGTATTAAAAATTCAGGAATTACGTCAACAATAAAATCATACATTTCATTAAATGAAGCAGAAAATAAAGTTGCAGCCTTATGGGGCTGGAACTTAGCGGGATTCCAAAATGACGGACATTTTAGTGCTGTGATACCATTGAATAAGATTTTAGGGTTTGCAGAAGATTACAATAAAATTGTGATAAATTGTAAACACGAACTTATTTTGAGTAGAAGCAACTCTAACTTAAATAGTGTTATTCTCACTGATGATGTTGTTAATTTTCAAATAGATATACAAAGAGTCCAATGGAGAGTGCCACATATAAAAGTGTCAGATCGAGAACGACTAACACTTTTAAAACATTTAGAAAGAGATAAACCTATTCAGATGGCTTTTAGAAATTGGGATTTATATGAGTATCCCTTGCTACCTAAAACTACAAAGCATTCTTGGTCAGTTAAAACAGCTTCACAATTGGAAAAGCCTAGATATGTTATATTTTGCTTGCAAACTAATAGGAGAAATAATAGGACTAAAGACAGTTCACTATTCGATCATTGTGAAGTGACCAACGTAACACTCTTTTTGAATTCGCAATATTATCCCTACGAACCTTTGAGTTTAAAGTTTTCTGAGAACAAGTACAGTATATTATATGAAATGTATGTGAAATTTCGTCAGTCGTATTACAACAGTCCTGTTGACCCATTGCTAGATCTAACAGATTTTAAAGAAAAGGCTCCCCTTTTCATCTTAGATTGCTCAAGACAAAACGATAGTTTAAAAACCGGTCCAGTGGACGTGCGGTTAGAAGTTGAATGTTCCACACCAATACCAGATAAGACAACTGCATATTGTTTGATTATTAACGATCGACTTGTGGAATACAAACCTCTCAGTAACATTGTGCGCAGATTATCATGATTGCTGTTGTTGATATTCAAGGATTTAGAACAGAAGCAGATGAATTTATATTAAAAGAAATCGCTATATTGTGTAACAAAAAACTACAAGTGTTTTTAGTTAAGCCACCATTTCCATTTAAAAATTTAACGGAATCTGAAAAGAAGGTAGTTCTTTGGATTCAACGTAACAAAAATATATACTGGAGTGAAGGATTTGTACCTTATTCCAATTACCAGACTTTGGTTTCCGATATATTAAGAGATAAATGTGTTTATGTTAAAGGTTCAGAAAAAGTTTTATGGTTAAAGCATATTTTAGAAAATAGTAATAGTAATATATTTAATTTAGAAGATAAGGGTTGTTCTAGTTTAGTACATTTATATGATCAATATAAACATTCGCAAGATTTGTATAATTGTATTTATCATAACTCTGTATGTGCTTTAAAAAATATATTGTGTTTAAATAAATGGTGCCGTGATAATAAAATTTTTATGAAATAAAAAAAACTTGTTTAATTTTTTATAATATGTTTACTATCTCTCCCAATCCTGTACAATCACGTTTATAAATTGCTTGCAGCATTAAAGCTATGTCATTTTATGTTTATAATTATTAGCATCAAGAACTAGTACTAAATAAATAAAATATGTTTCAAACTGAATATAAACCTCGATATGATATGTATAATGCATACAAAATACGTGAATTATCCTTTAATTATTACTGGGGACGAATAATTCAAAGAAAAGATTAGTGATGGAAATGGCTGATGCTGGATTCTTTTATTACGGAAATAATCCATATGATAAAGCAGCATGTTTTTCATGTGGAGGTGTTATAGAAGATTGGGAGATTTATGATGATCCTTGGATGCAGCATGCTATAAATTTTCCACAGTGTTTTTATTTGAACGCTGTGAAAGGGGGGGAATATGTCAATAAGTGGCAAAACATCATCAAGAATTGTGTTAGTGAGAAATCTTTCATGTTGCATATATGGCAGCGCATCGAATGAATGATGTCATACAATATACATCTCATTAATGTAAACAAAGTGCATGAAGCGGTTCGCTATTTTGGTACATATTCAACGACATGTTTGGCTTAATGGTTAAGACCCTGGTCACAACTGAGTGCAATATTATAACACGTTCTTCAACTACAAAGACGAAGTGTCGTGGGTTCAATTCCCACACAGACAAGTTGATATTAGTTCTGGTCTGATTTTTTGTTTGAGTTTAAATGAAGTTTTCACAGTAACATTTAATTTAACCGCTGAATATTATGATCAAGAAACAGATTAAAATAATATGTTAGTTGAAGATTAAAATGTGAAAAATAGGGTATCCAGATCTCTGATCTGGATGCCCTATTTTTCAACTACTACCGTCGACAAGCTAACGCTACTGAAACTCTGCGTAGATCATTTGTGATCCAGTTTGCTGTAACTCCGATGTAGCTTCTCTTTTTACTAGACCAGTTAATTCCTTCTCCGTGATAGAAGAAGCCTTTGCTCAGCAATGTTACTGGCTGATAGTGTATAACTAAGCCAGCCTGCCTTTGTACTGGTAAAACCATTAAGAATAAGCTTTATCAGAATGAGATTAATTAGAAACATAACAGGAAAATTTAAAATAGATAGCATGTAACTTACTTCAACTGAAACGTGAGCGGCGAGCACGGGTGACTCGCCGCCCGACCAGAACCAGACCCGAGCGCGCTTCAAAGAGCCATCAGACCACCACAGATAATATACCAATAGGGTTGACGCCGATATGGAGTCGCGGAGGACTTTACGGGTTGCCGGGGCTCCGGCTCGAAGTGCAGGAGTAGGAACGGGTTGGTTTTATTCAGTAAGAATCTGACACTCCCTCTCGCCTCACCCGGGCGAGAGAAGTCATTGGATGATTTTCCCACCTCAAAAAAAAGCCTCACTCAAGGCGGTTCTTTCACAGTAAGTACCTATGTCAGAGACGTGCAGTTGACACCAGATGAAATAAAAATATTCTCCATACAACCATATATCCATTTAGCTTGTTATGCAAGTTTGTGCCAAAGAACTTCGGCTTTATGTGTTAAGTCTAAAAGGATTTGGACGATTGGGCGGTTTTCGAGCAGATAATCTTCATAATCCCTATTATTTATATTGGATTTACACTTACTAGTTACATTCGTACGAAAGCAATGCAAAGAAAACCTACAATTACAATTAAATCTTTACTAATTAGATTTGAGTGACAAATTCCAAAGTACTGGTAAAGGTTCTAAAATAGTGCTCGATGATGTCATGAAAGCAGGATTTTGATAGCGCTTGACTCAATTAAGATTCATTATTGTTAACTGCTTATTTTACACGATTCATTATCTATACTTATAATAAATCTGTAGAGGTCAATTCTGTACATAAAATATATTTAAAAAATAACTATCAAGGGGTGGTTAGGGATCGCTACTAATGCCAAAAATGCAATCAGTAAAATTTTTGTCTGTCTGTCTGTCTGTCTGTATGTTCGTTATGGAAACAAAAACTACTCGATGGATTTTAACGAAATTTGGCACAATTATTTTTCATACTCTTGGGCAGGTTATAGTATACTTTTCATTACGCTACGATCAATAGGAGCAGAGCAGTGAAGGGAAATATTGGGAAAACGGGAGAAGTTACTCCATTTTTTAAGCTTCCGTCGCGTGTGCAGGCTTATAGGTTAAAGCTGCATAGAAATCATGTATGACAGAAATATTTTCCTTAAAATTATATAAAAAATATTCCTCGACAGCATATGTCTATCTTTTATGGTTGACTCACAATAACACGTGAAACTCCCGATAGCTTAGCAATTCGGTGATTTCTGATTGTATTTGTCTACTCTAACGTTCACAATACTCATTCATAGACTTTACGCTGTAACTGAAAGGCCAATGGTTGAAGTTAGCTTGACTCGATATTATAAATGAAAATATGTGAGTTTATGTGTATGTTTGTTACTCAGTCATATTAAACCGACTGAAGGGACCGGAATGTAATTCGGAACAGAGGTAGATTATGGTCTGAAGTGATACATAGGCATTTTACCCCTGGGATCGCGGGCGAAGCCGCTGGCAAAAGCTAGTTATTACATACATAACATCACGCCTTTTATCCCCGAAGGGGTAGGCAGAAGTGCACATTATGCCACTGTACAATGTAACACCCACTTTTCACTATTTATGCTATGGGTCCCATGTAATAGGGTAATGTAATAGCTAGTTATTACTATTATATTATATCGTTCGTGAGACATAGCGCCAATTAATTTTATTTTATAACTTACGTAGGTACACTACGGTAACTACGCTTGCTGTGTCGTTTGTCGCGTAATGCTGAGCTCTTATCGTGTCTTGTCTAGTTGAGTTACCTCGAACTGTTACGCGAGAAAGCCGTAAATCATAATTAGGTAACATTCTTTATTGTATTCTTGACTTTCCAAAGTAAAATTTTAGTTAAATTAAATAAAAATGGGTTATGTTTAGGAAGATTACACACTTACCTGGCTAACAATAATAGGGAAGGTTTCTTTACTCGGTCTGAATTTGACGAGGTTGTCCAGACACCGCTGTACCGTCACCCTGTCGCACGCTATCACTAGTACCGGCAGGATTGGTTGAGAAAGATCTGGAATAAAAAATAAATTGACTTTCATTTGTGTTGGAATCGAGGAGCAACCTGCATAGTTATAGTGGCTCTTTATTATAGCTAAATAAATCGAGTTCGATCGCGATTCCCCATATCATTGGTCGTGCAAATAATCTCGACCAATGACGGGCGAGAATCTCCAGTTCGAGAGTTTGAATTGACTTCTTACAAAATAGCCTAGTAGTTCTTTTGTGCCCACAAATCATTATGATGGTATCAGGCCTACACTATAGGCAGAGGACCACATATACTATATTATACGTATATTAATGTAACAACCAGTTTTCGTCAGTTACGTTATGAGTCCCATTCAGTAGGGGTGACCCTTTCGAATTTTTCGGTAGTTGGAATTGTACCTTATTTTTGACGACGGGGTGAGATCTTCAAACGGCCTAGCTTATTGGGGAGAAAAGCTGGGAAGTGTGGGATTTGTGCCTCACCAAAACTACCCCGGTGGCCATCCTCAACACCTGTAAGAAGCACCGGGTCGTCTAAAAGAGTTCCCACGGTGCAACGTCTGTGACGGCACAGCCTTGGGGAGACAGGTATCTACCCTTGAACCTCGCTGTGAGTCGCAATTGCACCTACAATAGTTAGATCAACGAGGCAGTTCAGAGCTGTCGTTGTCGAGGCAGTTTAGAGTTAAGAGTTACAGTTCCTCATCATCATCATCATATCATTCATCCGCGCGTTACCCACATAACAAAACACACGAAAATAACATACAATTTATACGTCAAAATTACATAATTTATGTAAACTGACCATGAAAAATACCTATTGAATTTACACAAACATTCCGCTGTTTAAAACCGAATCGAATCGAGAGTAATTTTCAGTCATTTTTCATTCATTTTGCAGTGCTTATTATGAAATATGAACAATGCATTTTAGTTTTATGATGACAATGGAGCATAAATACATTAATTATTATCAGATCATCATTTCTTGGTAGGTTGAGGTATCCTAAGAACTAAGAGACTACAATTCTATATTCGGTAGAGACCGGGCTCTCTTATTAACCTGAATATTTTAATCTGCAATCTTTTACATGCCTGGCAAGATGCAAATTATGGTGGTAAGAAACTCTTTTATATGGAGGATGTCCATAGTCTAGCAATGGACTGTAAAAAATAAATAGACCAGCTGCTGAGATCTTATTAACTTTCGTCTTAACTGCGATATTATGATTTCTACGTAGGAGTGGGGATTACCTACGCTTAAAAAACTGTAACTGTTACTTTACAGTAAACCTTAAGAGGCAGCCATCCTTTTAGATGAGAGGAACAACCTTTAGCAGGCGTTTACCTTCGTTAACTTCATTGACACGGCTGTACATAACGCTTGCGTTGTTTTACGCCGGTTCTCTGTGAGGCCGAGATTGAGTCGGCCCATTCGTGGCACATCATTTCTCTCTTACGTGTTGTATTGCTCAGAGATTGACGGTAAAACCACGGTTGAGCACTAGAAATAGTTTATTTCTAAAAGTTACAAAGTTATAAGTTGGATGCCAATCCGGGCCAATTGCAATTTGTCAACTACAGTTCATTGTTCAGTGAATATTATTATATGCTGTGAATATTATTAATTAAGGTCGCATCGTCAGCACCGAAATCGTTGTACCTATAATATATTCACGTGTACAACATAAATACTGGTAATAAAATCCGTCATAATATGTTGGATTTCCCAAAAGGTTATTAATTATGTACAGTATTAAAGTTATTATATTTAAATAGATACCAAATAATCTTATTGTTATACAAATATGTATTAATTGTTATCACACATGGCTCGCCAGATGCGGCCAGATGATGGTTTATCTCAGTATCGCAAGCTTTATCAGAAGCTGACCTATAACATATTAGCTAGCATATTAGACTCTACTCTCTACAGAATAGAGCATGTTTCATACTGTCTAAGTTTCGCAGTTAATTTATATATTTTAGTACATAGTTGTTATTTTTATCTGCGGTGCGTCGATCATGTGTTTTGTCTGCATTTCTTTTTAATCGTGTAATATGATGCATTAAAATTCCACGAAGAGAGTGTTGGATGTGCAACTAATAGTCAATGTTTATCACCAGTTACATTATTATTATTTTTTTTACTTAAAAATCATGTGTGGGAGAGCCATGCTTCGGCACGAATGGGCCGGCTCGACCGAAGTGATACCACGGCCTCACAGAAAACCAACGTGAAGCAACGCTTGCTCGAGTGAGGTTACCGGAGGCCCAATTACCCTCCCATTCCCCAATCTCCCTAATTCGTGAATCCGCAACGATCCTTAAACTCCTAATCCCCAAAAGGCCGGTAACGCACTTGTAACGCCTCTGGTGTTCCAAGTGTCCATGAGCGACGCCGATTGCTTACCATCAGAGGGCCAAGCACGAATAACTATCGCATTCCTAAGTGAACGTAAGTAAATATACCTAAGTGAACATCTCTCCCCGGAATGTAAGGATCTCCACGCTGCAGCTAGACATGCGGCTAAGGCTCACTCATTTAGGTTTGTTTGGGTAAAATATGGCCGTGTTTATTTAAAGAAGGATATAGATTGTCCTGCTATACACATTAAAAGTAAAGACTGCTTGAATAAATTGACGTAATATATTATATAGTGCCTATATTCATTTTATTTTATTAATGATTTGTAATCTGTATCATATTTTATAATACTTGTGTCTTGCTATTTCAATCAACATTATCTCTCTAATTTATGAAAATCTATTATCAAAATGTTAATCGTATTAGAAGCAAATTGAATGAATTATATTTTAATATACTAAATGAGAATTATGATATCATATGTTTATGTGAAACTAATCTCGATGGTTCATTCTGCGATAGTGAGTTTGTGGATGACAGGTACGTTGTGTTTCGGAGAGATCGAGAAACGACTGGCTCTCGAAAGCAGACTGGTGGGGGTGTCCTGATAGCATGTAGGAGAAGTTTTATTGTGTCCCGTCATGGCGACCGTGAGAGCCCTTACGAGGATCTAGCGATATCCTTGAGCTGTGAGGGAGGTTCTACATATATATTTACTTGGTTTACCTACCACCCAGCCTTTGTGTTGAGGAATATAGCAGGTTCTTTGAGAGATGTCAGGATGCCGTGATCGACCACTCCGGATTGAACGAAAGGATTTTAATATTAGGCGACTTTAACATACCGGGTGTTACTTGGAGGGGCGACGATACATTTCCTTGTCGTCAGCAACCTCGAAGCGCGACCGACACTAAGTCCCACCTGCTTGTCCAATTTTTAGATATTACTGGATTGCACAGTACAATCATGTATATAATGACATGGTAGGATTCTTGATCTTTGCATGTCTGAGTGGAGAGTATTGTCGTTACTGACTGTTTGCCGTTGTCTACACCTGACCGCCATCATCCTGCTATTGAAATAGAAATCTTAACTAATAAACTAAATGTCATGCCACAGATAGTAAAGAGGATCCCTAATTTCCGTAAATGTAAAACTGATGGCTGCATTGCTCAGTTGAATGACGTAGATTGGTTCGAACTATTGAATGATCACGTATTAATATAATAACTGATCGCTTCTACGACGTTTTGGACAGAGTTATTGCGGCGAATGTACCTACCAAGCGTATTGGATGTGTTAAGTATCCAATATGGTATATATCACTTAAAGTCTTGCCTCGTAAAGAAACTCGCCGTTCACAAGAGATATAAAAAGTTCAAAAACCCTCGAGATTATGACGAATTTTGCGTATTACGTGCTCAATCAAAAAAACTTATAAAAAAATTGCTACCGTAACTACATAGCCAGTATTGAATCATCTCTAGCGACCACTACTAAATTATTTTTCTCTTACATTAAGCATAAAGAAACAGCCGCGCATATCGAAAAACCATGAAGCTAGGGAATGAAAACTGTTAGTGACGGAGGTGAAATAAGTAACATGTTTTCAAAATACTTTGCATCAGTTTTCGAGGAGGAGAGCGCTAGCCGGTGAGTATTTCTTGTGACTTACCTCTTTTTAACCAAACTCTGTCCACTGTCTCGATAACTGAGAGTAAAAATTTACAGGAGTTGATAAATTTGGATCGGAATAAGGCGCAGGCCCTGACGCTATCCCCCCTTGTTTCATTCGAGACTGTGCCAAGGCCCTGGTGGTACCCTTCACATTATATTTAATACCTCCCTATCATCAGGTGTGTTTCCTGCAAGGTGGAAACTAGCTCACATAGTCCAATTCATAAGGCTGGAGACATTTCTGACTGCAGTAATTATAGACCAATTAGCATATTATCTACTTTCGCAAAAGTGTTGAGTCTCTAGTGTATGACCAGTTGTATTATCAATTCAACCGTTTATACGTCCGGAACAACATGGATTTGTGAAGGGAAAATCGACTGTCAGCAATCTACTTGAATATACGAGCTACATCTCTGAAGCTTTTAACGATCATGTACAGGTAGACTGTGTCTTACTGACTTTAGAAGGGAGGCCTTTGATCGAGTCAATCACAGAATATTGCTTTGTAAATTGGATACTTGTTGGGGGATTCATGGTAGCCTCTTGCGGTGGTTGGAATCATACATAGTGAACCGGAGTCAAATTGTGACCCTCGGAAGCTACAACTCCGACAGGGTATCTATACCCTCAGGAGTCCCACAGGGATCTCACCTCGGTCCACTGTTCTTTATATTATATATTAACGACTTGATTCCTAAACTCTTGAACCACTCATTGTTATATGCGGATGATTTGAAAATTTTCTCTCGTGTTCGCAATGTCACAGAATGTAACCAGTTACAGTCTGATATCAACACTTTGCTGGAATGGTGTGCACTGAATGGCATGGATCTCAGCGTGAATAAATGTTCAGTTATTACATTCACACGTGCAAAAAATCCAATCACTTTTGAATACACCGCAAATGACCACATCTTGCAGCGTCTAGCGGAAGTACGAGACCTGGGTGTCATTTACGACTCCAAACTTCTTTTAACGTACACTGTGCGGATATCTCCAGCAAATGTAGGAAAACTATGGGTTTCATATGTCGCATGTCTAGAGATTTTAAACATCAAAACAGTGCTATCACCCTATACAGGTCCCTTGTGCTCAGCAGACTTGAGTATGCGTCAATAGTCTGGAATCCTAAATATAAGGTACATACTGACCTTATTGAGTCGAACTCAACGCCGTTTTGTGCGCTTCATGTCACATAGGTATGGCTTAAAAAGAGAACTTCAGACGTATGCACAGCGTTCTGCTCATTTTGGGTTGCCGAACTTGGGAATTAGGCGTTCCTACCAGGATTTGGTATATTTGTTTAAAATTATGAATGGGATTCTTGCCACGAGCTTATTATCGCAGATTCACCTCAGGATCCCTACCAGATCTGTTAGACGCGAGATGTTTTTCTCTTTGCCAATGTGCAACAACAATGTATCGTCTCACAATCCTGTGATACGGATGTGTCGCAAGTACAACGAGCTACTCTCGAGTGACATGGGCGTGCCTGATATCCACAATACTTCGCTTCACAAATTTAAGAATATTATTAAGAAATTGTTATTTGGTCGGTCCGATGATGAGGACAATATTGAACATTGAATATGTATCTATTGTTTAATTTCGTTCTTAATTCTCCTTATTATTACAAATTATCTCTAATTTTGTTCTGGATTATAGTTCATTGTAAATAATTATTAATAAATAAATACTAGTCGTTGCATGTCATGTTGTGTGCACATACTTGTGGAAGCATGGTCTGCCATTTACAGTTTGGTATTGTTATTCTGTTGTGTATTTCGCTGTGTTTCTGTTTTGTGTACCTATTAAATAAATAAATAAATAAATAAATAAATAAAATAAATTCGTATCGTAACAGTATCGAGCGAGTTAAGCGTTCCGATTGGTTGGTTCACTTAAGCCGGCCAATCAGAGCGCCGAACGCGCTCGATACTATTACGTTACGAATGCGATAGTTATTCGTGCTTGGCCCTCTGGTGATCCGTCTGCTCGTTTACCGGCTTATGCCATAAAAAAATGTTTATTATTTGATAGGCATGCAAATGAGCAGATGTATTAGTCGTTAGCGATCAGCACCGCCCATGGACACACAGCCCTAGAGGACTTGCAAATGCGTTGCCGACCTGTTTTGGGCTTCTGGGAACCTCACTCACACGGCGAAAGAAAACGTAAGCGTTGTTTCACGCCTGTTTCCTGGAAGGACGTGGTATAACGCCAGGCGAACCAGGGCAAAACCTGGTTCTGCCACGTTTTAATATAATATTGTTTAGGAGTAAATAGTTAAATAAATTATTGTTAACCTTTGGTAAAACGGGAGGTTTTTTCTTGTCGCCCCGCATCGGATCATGAGAGTGTATCATTGTTAACAAATTCTATTAGCTGTTTAACATTTTGCGCATAGTTTGGTAACACTGGGTGTTCGTTCAAAACATTAAACCTTTGTTGACAAAACGCTCAGTTCAAAAGGATATTTTGTAATGGCAACTATTTGTAAACTTTTCATCTTTTGTGAGATGAAAAATTGAGACAAATCCGTTTGTCGAGTCGCTATGAAATTATGATTTTTTTTTAAGGGCGGAAAATCATCGAGTGACTGCTCCTGTCTGGGTGAGGCGGAAGGGAGTGTCAGACTCTTACTAACTAAAAACCACCCCATTCCTTTTCCTGCACGTCGTGCCAGTTACCTTTTATAATGTGGTACCCAGATTTTTAATAAGTAATTCTTGTAATGGCGTAAAGTTTTACCTCGTTAATCGAGGGGCCACACAAGCAACAGCCGAGTGACAGGTTTTGGGTTCTATTCCTAGATCGGTTAATTATTGGGATTTTTTATGTAATAAACCTTAATTGTGCCTGAAGAAAAACAACAGGCTCAATCAATATTGCATGAAAGTTGTGTCAATAAGAATTACACAATAAAAATATGCACTCGAAACAGATGCAATACAAATTAGTTTACAATATAAATAACTATTGATTTTGTGGTGGGAGTAATTTTGATTATTCTACAATTCTTCCATACTATAACAGTCTACTGTCAATTTTGTTCAGTAGTAGCATTTTGATGGAAGGATCGGCCCTTAGTAGGTACTAACTAATACATAACATAACGCCTTTTATCACCGAAGGGATAGGCAGAGGTGCACATTACGGCACTTAAAGCCACTGTACAATGTAACACTCATTTTTCACTATAATTTATGTTATTAGACCCATGTAATAGGGGGTGGGCTCCAGACTGTACTTTGCCCGATTTGGGAATCAAACCTGAGACCGCTTGCCTAGCAGTCACACTTGCAACCACTCGGCCAACAAGCTAGTACTAACTAATCAACCAACTAAACTATAGTTGGTTATATAAATATTCCTTTATCTCTTTTATTTTTATTTTATGCTGTTCACTCTCTTGTTATTAATGCATGTGGAAAATCTCTGTAATAGGCTTAAGGACTCCATGTCATGTTATTAATACATGTACACTTTACTAAACAATCTGTTAAGTTTTCTGTGTTAAAATATATAAATAAATATGTAACCAGAGACCACAGCGATGGTTGCAACACCTGACTAAACATGGGTGCATTGACATCTTGTTTGGTCATACATTTAGCACAATACCATACCAGTCACGGTCATTTATTTATAACGGAACTACTTTGAGTAACCTTTTTACAGTAGAGTGACAATATTTTTTTTATCTGTGACATTGTAGCTGGCTTATATTTTTATGATGATGGTAGATATGAAAAAAATAAATAAATAAATGAAATTGCAGAATATTGTTCAAGAAAAAAAGATAATTCATTTTCTAGTGATTTTATCAAACCTTTATTTAAGCAGCTGTTACAGCAGGTTTTTTTATTAATTGAGCACCTTCTGAAAATACTGCTGCTTTGGGGGAGTATACTTGAACATAGGCCTCCCACAAAGACTTCTAGATGGGCCTGTTGGTATTGACCAACAAAGTCAGGCCCATTTAGAAGTCTTTACTTCAATATGTATACCATGTTAATCAATAAAGAATAAATAATGTCAAGATTTTTTAATCAATGAAGGTAAGGACAGATATGCTGAAATAATGACATATAAGTACCTACAATGTAACACATTTCACCAGTTATGTATGAGTCCACCAAAAGAGTGCATATTGTAACTTATTATCTAGGACCTACATGGTAAAAAAAATATTAATCATAATCTTTCTAAATTTAAAAACTTCATAAACTGAATCAAACCATTAACAACAATAGAAAGGTAAACACTGGCCATAAGGCCATATTTTTAAGAAAATAATGGATACTTACGCTGCATTACTTCTGCATCTTTGAGACTATCACCTTCACCAACATTTTGACCCCCTGATAACTTTTTCAATTTATTTACTTTCGCCAAAAGGGTTTTACTCTCAGCCATCTGAGCATCAACTTGTTTTTGAAGCTTTATTATCTTATTTTCTATTTCTACAGCAGGATCCCTTTGTGGAGCAGATCGTGGTACTTCTATTACAGAAGCATATGATATTAACACCCACAAAATCACTAAACAACTCACAAAAATGAGGGCTTTTTTAACATTTAGACGCATTTTGAATACCTATTTTACTAACGTTTTTGTGACAAATTGAGGGTCATGAACAGTTTATCTCGTCCATATTCCAGTTATATTTGTTCTTGCTAACCACTGGACGCGAAAGTAAACAAAAAACATCACTAAATTCTTAATAATGTACCACAGAATATCCAGTTCGAAATCTTAACACAACATTCACGTCTTACGCATAGTTGCAACGACACAAAATTTATTATACGTATTAACACTTGTAGTTCACATAAGGCGAGTAGTTTCCAATTTGATAATTGAAAAATTACGATATTTTTCCATTTAAAAACCACAACAAACACCGCTCGAACGTGTGTACACGTCAAAAAACAAATGACGGACGACTGACAGCAGGGTGACCAGCTAACCATAGATTTTTATACCGAGAAATGGTAGAAATGAATACGTGTTTTGGTCTTTTGGTAAGATTTTATTTTCATTAAATACGAGTCATAGGTAGAGCCGAATTATCCTTAAGGCGAGACGCACGTCCTCAACTGCCTATAGAGTGGCGGCGGCGACGCCAATAGTAAAAAGCTTGGGACGCCTTTGAGGTACCACTTGCCAAGGGCGCTGTCTTGGTTGAAACCACAGAGTACATTTGTATATATGTTGAAACTGGCTCTGATCAGAGACTAGAATTTTTGATTTATGAAATTCTCAATTGGACTGTATACAGTTACACAAAAATACTGTCTTAATTAGTAGTAACTGGTTACATTTACAATGTGCTATGCTATAGGCAGTAGTTGTAAGTCCAACATTTGTTGATTTATTTACTTAAACACATGCATAATTCCTAACATGTTGCTTTAAAAAATTTAACACAATGAAGTTAATTTAATTAAGAAGTTGTTTGTTAGGAAAATAATAGACTAATGTCTGTAGTATCTGTACCTATATAACTGATCATTGTGCAATATTTCAATAAAAGAGGTTCTAATTAAATAACAAAACTTGAATAAAGAAAATGCATCTACCTTATTTTCATAAGTCAGTAGAGCAATCATAACGACAGAGATCTGATAAAGGTTTCAAGAAGACGCTGGATAAGTTGATATCGATCCATACAACTGATTCCGACTAATAATACGATGATGACGATAATGATGATAAGCTAGTAGACGTCACAATCAGTTATTTTAAGTATTCCCTAAAAGTTTATGGCAAGATGCACGTATTAAAATGTTCCATTCACTTTTGCTAACGTGTTCCAAGTTGCCTAGTACGTGTAACCTGTATCAGAAGTAAAGTTTATGGACTTGGCGAATTACTTCGATGGTTCTGAATTACTGTCAATCTTCGCCTAAATCAAAAGTGGTCCCGTGACCTCATATAGTTTATTTATTATAAGAATTTTCCTACACTTTCATTACATTTTCCCCAATATGACAGTTAGCACACACGTTTGGTTTGACACACTCATTAGGCAAACGAGGCAAAAATTCTTAGTTATTTTAACTGTCAAACACCACGAGGACACCGGTGACCGCAACCTATTGTTCTTTAATACTCAAAGGGTTAATTCATGCCCTATGAAGTAGTATCACTAATTTACTTTTACTTAAAGTCACACGTTTCAATCATTTTCCGAATCCTATCCTATTAAACATGAAAAGGAATCTGATTATTGCAATAATGTATACTACCTTTCCCCCTGTGGCTTCACAAACATGGTGCAGGACGTTACCATTATTACAGGTACTTAAACCTTCCTCCTATAACTGTTAAAAACTGCATAAAAAACGTTGCGTACATGACCTAAGCACACATAGGGACACAGAGCAAAATTAAACTTTGTTTTATACGTAGGTACTATGTAATGAAATATCTCTGAATTGTCCATTAATAATAGTAGAAGCTTCTTAAAACTTTGCAAATAAAATAAAATTAATTTAGGTACTCACACAACTTCAGAATATCCTTCGCCGCATTCCGTTTAGTCTGGATACTAAACACATCAGTATTAAAAAAGTCCATTAAAATGATATATAGAGTCAAAATAAATGAAAAAACACAAAACATTCGAAGGGAACAACATCCTGACCATCGTCTGCAATTATTCCACGTACCCAAAGGTTTACCCATTTCACACACAGTTCAACACTTTCCTATATTTCAAAAGCCACTAGAAAAAATGTCATAGACATTTAATTTTGAGAAAACAAACATCACATTTCATAAGCCATCAATCATTTATTAAAATTTTTGCACACTTCAATTGTTTGAGAAGATTGTTTTTAGTTTTAAAGTTAATTAAAGAACTCACAAATTTCTTAGCTTACAGCGAATGAATGTTTCTGAAAATTCATGGGTACTGTGGTTAAGTAGCAGTACCTATTCTACCTACTACACGAACTATGCTTGCTATCGATGATCTTGAACAGGCAATAAATAATACAATCAAAACTGTAGCTGGATGTGTAACCACGTAACAATGTTATCGATGAATTGCAGTTATAAGTGGCAACAAGAACATGCATTATTAGCTCAAGTAGCGTATTATTTCGAAAATTGTATACCACGAACCTATTGGCAATATAATCTACAAACTCTGAAGAAAATGTTACGTTATCAGTTATCATAGGTATTTAGAACACCTTACAGTTATATGATTTACGAAGATGGCCCATATTATGAGTGAAAGCAGAGAAGAATACATGAAATATATATTTTATCAAATTATCACCAGTTGGTGCATGGGTGCTGCTACTACTACCCTTCTGCGAGTGTCAAGGTATTGCAAGTTCATCTGTGTTTACCTTCGTAGAACACAGGCATATAAATATGTATTACGTTTGTTAAAAACCACTGCTTTGTAAGCTTCTATCAGCCCCTATTACATGAGACTAGTAGCAACATTAAATTGTTGCGCCTCTGCCTATCGCTTCGGTGATTAAATGACATAACGTTATATACTTTTAAAATAACCGAACTAAATATTTGTCCGTATGGTCTTTTGCCAAATATTTATTGATCAATGAAGATCTATGTGGTTTGCCAAAGCGATTGTCACGAGGCTATGTGTTGACAGCACGCCTAATTACATAGTTGCAACAGACCATTGGTCGACGTATGTGATTAATAAAACCAAAGTTCACGAATCTAAAACTAATACTTATTCACACACCACCAAATTGACTGTATATGCGTACAATTTAGAGTTACAGTCGACATTGTTTATGTTTAATTATCAGGCTTTAATATTCCACTGTATCCACCTCAGAAATAAGCATAGAGGCAGAGTACCAATTTTTTAACCATGTGTCTTTATATTTATTTATTTTATTAAGGGGGGAAAATCATCGAATGACTGCTTCCGCTAGGGTGAGGCGGGAGGGAGTGTCAGACTCTTATTGACTAAACGCTACCACCCCGTTCCTTCTCCTGCACTTCGAGCCGGAGCCCCGGTAACCAACGGGTTACCGGAGTCGGAGTCGCGAAGAACCTAACGAGGTTCTTCGCGACTCCGAATCGGCATCAGCCCTATTAGGCCCCATCCGTAGTGGTGTGATGGCTCTTTGAGGCGCGCCCGGAACGCGACGCGCCGTACGCTCGGGTCTGGTTCTGGTCGGACGGTGAGCTACCCGTCCGCAGGCCCGCGCTTACGGTGGCCGGAGGTCGTCCCGCGATCCCCGACGCAACCGTGTGTCTAGGTTGAGGTTTCGAACCCGCGACGCAATTAACCAGCGGCACCCTAAAGTTTTTTCGGCTTTATATTTATGACATTATGATATGACTATAATGTTAATGAACAACGGAGACAAAAGTTCCAACCAAGAAGGAAAGTCAAAGTCAAAGTCAAAGCATTTATTTCAATTAAACCATAGTTTGGTGCTTTTGAAACGTCAACAAATACAAAATAAATAATAGTCTGTCAGTCAGTCCGTCAGTGAAACTAGGTGAAGCTAGGTGCTCATTCCAAAAAGTAGATTCGAATGGAGAAGAACGAGCAAGAAACTCCATTCGTTACTCTTTTTAAAAAAAGTATGTTCTACAATGTCTCTGATACATATTTCAATACTGTACGCATATGTAAGAACAATGCAAAGACACGCTTGACGCATTATACTAATAACTTACAAAAATTAAAAAAAAAAAATTAATAAAAATTAACTTAAAGTCCAACATGGTGCTCACATATGCATACTGACAATCCATAGAATTAGTGCTTCTATACAAGAAAAGGAAACTCTTTGTTTCAATAAAGAAATGCTCGATGCCATAAGGAAACTAGATTGTCTACATTAGAATTAAAGTGTTAAATTATGTATTAAAATACCTACTATTGGAATTTAGCTACTGACTACATTTGAGTATTGTCCAGTGGAGCCGAACCAACATGCTGCCAAGCATTCTTATCTTCAAGATAATCTGTCAGTGTGTAGTAGGCTTGATTACATAATTCGCGCTTAATATATGTTTTAAATTTACTTTCACTGAGATCTAGTATGCTATTTGGTATTTTATTATAGCATTTAATACCTAACCCCATAAAGGATTTCTGTACTTTAGACAGTCTGAATTGCGGTATAGCTAACTTATTTTTGCCTCTAGTATTAAAATTGTGACTATCGCTTCTTTTTTTCAAACAATTGCCTATTTTTCCTTACATACATTATATTTTCATATATATATTGACAGGGCCGTTAAAATATTATCGTTTTAAACAATTCTCTCAGCGATTCGACGGCGTAAGTTATATATTGCTCGGATAGCCCGTTTGTAGAATAAATATTGATTCTATTTCTGCAGCTCGACCCCACAACAAAATGCCGTACGACATAATGCTGTGGAAATAACTAAAATAGACAAGCTAGCTGTATCTACGTCCGTGAGCTGTCTAATCTGTCTAACTGCAAAGCAGCTGAGCTCAATCTCCCGAAAGCGCCTTTATATGCGGACCCCATTGTCTAACGTAATGCCTAAAAATACTGTCTCGTCGACAAATTCTAACTTTTGACCGTTCAAAACAATATCACTATCGTTACTACGCACGTTTGGTAAACTGAATTTAATACATTTTGTTTTTTTCTCATTAAGTGCTAGATTATTAATGGTGAACCAATTATGCACTTGAAGAATGGAGCTGTTTACGTCGTCAAGATTATTTGTACGTCGATCTATTTTAAAAATTAATGATGTATCATCTGCAAAAAGCACCATTCGTGGTTCATTTTTAAATATAAATGGCAAATCATTTATATAGACTAAAAAGAGAAAGGGACCCAATATTGAACCTTGAGGAACGCCCATATTCATCCCAGAGCCCTGCGAGTTAATACCGTTAACATGAACCTTTAACTGTCTCTCTTCTAAATAAGATCTCATAAGACGGAGCGCAGAGTTTCTTATCCCGTAGTGATCTAATTTCAGCAAAAGTGTCTCGTGGTCAACGCAATCAAATGCTTTTGAGAGGTCACAAAAGACACCAATAGCATCCTGTGCTTCCTCCCAAGCACCAAATATTTCCTTAAT